AAGTTAACAAAATAATTTTGAAAGTTGGAAAAGTTTTGCCCAACTCAAGGACATTAATTTATTTTCCATAGCTATAATTTAACAATTTAATTGCATCAAATTGCAACAAAGGGGAAAGAAAAGAAACAACATAAACTTACTACAGACTAATCAAAAATACCACCTCAAGAAAGCAATAAGGTTCAAGAAAGTCATTCAACAAGAACAATTGGCCAAAAGGAAAACAAATTAATGATAAGAACAATCACAATTAGAAGCAACAAGTGCATGCATATTTGAATGTTGGAGGAATTAAAGAAAATGCATGTTTATTAGAAGGAACACCTCGAATCCCTCTTATCTTCTTCTAGATCTAGGGCTCAGTGATTTCGAACTTGAATCCCTTGGATCTTCACGAGGACTGAAGCTCACGAATTAGGGAGAGAAGCAAATGAAAAAAGAGAAAGTGAGATCATGCGAAAGGGAGGATGGGTTTTATCCTCTTACCAGCTGAATTATAGAATATGTGAGATCAAGGTTAGGGCTAGAGAGAAGAAGAGAAAATGGAGAGGAAACAAAAAAATATAGGAATAGGTATTAGAGTTGTGTCTCGTACCCTCTACCTCGGTCCATATTTATACTAGAGTAATAAAATAACAAAATGACCACAGTACCCTCGCTAATAACAATAAAAGACACTCGATATATAAACGACATCTATTCTAACATTACCAACTTTCTTTTGCCCAAAATAGCCTTTTTTCCTATTTCTCATTATTAACCTTAGTCATCATTTAAATTACAAACGAAAAAAATTATTTCCCAAGCCAAACCAAGATGACAAAAAACCCCAAACAACGAAACACAAGATGGCAAAAAGGTAATAAAATTTAATTTCTTGGTCACAATGGTATGTCCCTAACTAGAGTGGAAAAGATTATTAACTTTGGTTTGCAGTGGTCTTGATATGGAAACAACTAATAAATTAGCTAGCTAGAGCCCAAGTGTCAATGACAAACGTAAGCTAAGCAAAATTAAGGCAACAAAACCAACCCTGCTAGTAAACCCCCTAAGTCAATAATTTATGTTCTGATTAATGAAAACAACATAGAAAATCAAGTGGGTATTGAAATATGAATTAACATAGATGATTAGAAGTGCACCAACATTCATTGAGTTTTTTAAAATGAAGAATAAGGCAAACCACTAACATTAAATTTTGATTTGGGTTAATTACACTTTTAAGCCCTACACTTTGACTCAAATTTTACCTTGGTCCCTATAGTTTCAAATTGAACAGCTCGATCCCTACGATTTTAATTCAATTTCAATTTAGTCATTCCGTCCAAATTTCCGTTTATTTTCCTACATGGGTATTAGGAGACTAACAAGCGATCCAAAATTGTTAACTTTAACATCAAACTAGAATGGAATGACCAAGCTAAAATTAGATTTAGAGTGTAGGGATCAAATTATCCAATTTGAAACTATGGCGACTAAAGTGAAACTTGAATCAAACTATAAAGGTGAGAAGTGTAATCAACCCTTTTGATTTTGACCAATAGATTATGAGTAAAATTACAAATTGGTTAAAGAGACAAATATACATTCATAAAAAAGCAAAGCATCACACTCATAAGATATTAGGAATAAAAGTGAAATTTTAATATAACAAAAGATAAATGATATTTCGTTGCAAATATAAAAAATAAGAAAAAAAATTCAAATCGGGCTCAGCTACTTTAATCTTTGGTCGTACTACTTGTGACTGAAATGATGAAATGTTTCTATAACGTATGATTTGGTATTGTATCGCAATTCCATACATATCACACGACTAATTAATCTTTACCTTTTTCTTCACCTTTGACTCTGTTAACAGTTTTTTTTTATTCTTCGTCTTTTTCACTATCAATCATCACGACCAATTGACGTAGATGGAGAGGGAGAAACGGATAGAGGAAAAACAAAAGGGCCACAACCCAAATCACACAAATCTATTAATCAACTATGTCCAATACAATTACCACAACTTCTTATTTATAGGCAAAAATCCCAATACTAAAAAGAAATTTAGAATTCTTAACAAAATAGGAAACCAAATACTAAAGAATCCTAATTAAACAATAATTTAAAATACTAAAGACATCAAATTATAAAATTGTAAATAAAATTTCCATATCAAATTGGTGTGCCAACAGTCAACCATACAACAATGATACATCCCTCTAATTTATCACCCCTAAATGACCCCTAACGATGTGGCATTGAGATTAGACCCCACATGATGGAATGTTTGACAAATCAAAATTTGACACTTGTTAGACACATCATTAGGAGTAGATTTTTGGGGTGATAAATTAGGTGTCTCAAGCATTTCTTGTGAACAATATTCTTAATCCCATACAAAGAATACCAATATCCAAATAAACTCGCAAGCAAAAATGAATGCCTTATTGACTTTCCTACAAGAAATTGAATTACTCTTATGCACCTAATTCAGGTGAAAGAACATAGTGTTTACACACAAATTGTAGGATTTGAGTTTAGACTAGAGATTTGAGCCAAAAGGCTTATCTCGACCGTGACAAAAAACCATATAACAAGTATGTTTGCTACTACTCATATCCAAACAAGTATTAAAGAATATCTTCGGTTGCAAATCATGAACTAGAAAAACACTCACATAAAAGGCAAGCAATAACTTCTATCATAGGACTACAACTGATCATCAATCAAATTAACATAAATGAAATTTTATTTAGTACTAAAGCTAAAACAAGATATAAATTCAAGTAAGACATTTGTAACAATAAAGGAGGACCAAAAGGCAATGTTGAATTTGTGACGATTGTTTCCACAATTAAACATATTTAGCAAAAGAGAAGAAATATCAATTGCATTCAATCTCATAATCTTCGTGATTATTGAACTTAGAAACAAGTGCCATGTTTTCACAAAAACACTAGTTACTGAATATAAGTATCTCGGTAAAACTCTACATGACCAGAAGTGTATTAATAGTTTGAACTATAGCTAAAAGAAAACTAAATCATTTTAATCTAATTGGTTCGGACCATGAAATCAAAAATCATGCACATATTTATTGAAGATCAAATCTGTATGGTCCTGAGCTAATCCACCAATCTTGCAAAAGAAGTAGTGAGTCTTTAGTGACACCACTGTGGTGTCATCCAAAAGCCCTCCAATGGTTCAATCGGTACTCATTTTGATGGAGCAGACTAAGAGTAGAGAGAGAGAGATTGAGAGGAGAGATTTAGGGTTGCTGAATATTGCCTACCTTGTGTTTGTCTTACCTTAAGACTTTATAGAGAAACTCTAATATGAGTTAGATTAGTGAGATAAATAATTCCCTAATGTCTACTTTTGTTTTGCAATGGATATGGAAATATATAATCTCAATCATATGTTTGATTTGCATTATTAGTTGTAGGATTAAAAAATTCACCAATTTTCTTTGGACAGAATGTGCATCGAAATCTAATCTGTATAACAAAAATTGCAACCAAACAATGAAATGTGAGTCTCTTAGATTAATAATCTCAATCATATGGTATAATCCACTCAATCAAACAAGCCCTTACAGTATAATCACATCCGGTGAAATTTAAAGAAAAACACCAAAGGATATGATATCATGAAATTAGTTTCATTTAGATGGAAAATATAAACTCTTTCGGGTGAAAAATCAAATAATTGAGCATATAGCTCTTCATAGAGTGGAATGAGGAAATACACGTTCATGTAATTGAGCCCACCAAATTGGAACAAAAGGGTCTATTTGTTTGGTTTAAGTGAAGATTGAACGTTCCTTTCCTTCTTTTTAAACATTGCACTTCCTCATATTTAGGTGGACCTAACACAGCCGAATCCCATGCTATCAATTCCATTTCAATTTGACACACTTAGCTACAGATTTTCAAGACCCCTTTCCAAAAAAAAAAAAAAACTGGTCAAAAAATCCAGGCGTGACAGATTGTAATTTGTAATTACTTTGCAAATAATTTTTGGTAAAGATTCTCAATCCGTAACACGTAAGAACCAAGTTTTAACCACGAAAGGCATAATACACAGATTGTAATTTGTAATTACTTTGCAAATAATTTTTGGTAAAGATTCTCAATCCGTAACACGTAAGAACCAAGTTTTAACCACAAAAGGCATAATACGAAAATACCAACCAACCCAATACCTGAGTTACACAATGAATCAAAAGAATTTGTAATTATTATTTCACCAAATTACTATGAAAAATATGCAGCATTGTCACAAGAGCAGAGAAGCTATTGATTGAACAATTAAAAAGAAAACTAGTCATGTTTAGATCATGAATTTTGGTAGGAATTTGGCAAAGGAAAGAGAAAAAGTAACGAGAAATGTGAATACAATATAAGTTAAATTTTTCGTCATTTCTCTTTTCATTTCGCTATCCAAATTTCTATCCAGATTATCCAAACACAACGCAAATATAAAGTATAAAAAATAAAAAATTGAATCTAATTGAATAAGTAAAATTCACATAGAATATTGACAAGCAAGTCTTCCCTTAATTTATTTTTTTTCGAGACTCCACTCATGCCATCAAAATTTCCAAAGTTCCAAGTAAACCTATTTTATTGCCAAAAAATAAAAAATAAAAAAAGGAAGATGATATAAAAGCATTTACTCTTGTTTCCAAGCATTAGAAACAATTTGAAGGACAAATTACACAGATGGTACCTATATTTTGTCTCATGTTATTTGGCCTCTACACTTTTAATTGACTCAATTTTGACCCTTAATTTTAGATTTTTAATTAATTTGATCCAATTGATAATTCTGTTAATGTTTTTACAAAAAAAAATTAACATTGAATTAGTTGATGTTAACTCACTCACTCAGTTGAGTAAATTTATAATTTTGCCATTAAAAATACAACCCATGCCACTTATGTACCTATTTTCCATACAAAAATGTAAAAAGTTATAAACAATTGAACCAAATTGAGACAGATTCATGAATTCATGATAAAAATCAAATCAATTGAAATTATTGAGACCAAAGTAGAGGGACTAGCATCGTAATTTGCCTTATTTAGAAATATAACAACAGCAAATCCAAAACAGTGAAACCTAGATCTTAAAAAAATGACCTGAAGACTGAGGAGGCATGGTTCTCTTCTTGAGTCCTAACCCAATAAAACAATGAAACCGATGTGATGAAGAATGGTTTTATAAGAACTCAAAGTTCCAAAAACCTGCCAATCAATCACTTAATCAATCAAAAAATAAAATAAAATAAAAAATGTTTTATGTTTTTGTCGGATATTCATCTCAGGTGTAAATTGTTTCCATGAAAAGCATTTTTCTTATATGAAATTAAATTTCACAATTGGAAGGAATAAAAAAACCCATTGGAAAATAACCAGATCGTTTAATCTTCCTTTTGGTGGACTAATTTAAAAAGAAAAAAAAAATTAAGAAAAAATGTTTATCCACGAACTCAACACATGAGGTAAAGGATCTCAATCCATAAAATGCAGGGGTGTCACGGGTCGGTTCGGCTCGGGTTTACCCTTAATCCGTCAGCTGAACCGACCCATTCGGGTTACAGAATCGGCCATCCGTCATCGACCGAACTACCATTCGAAATCGACCGAATAGAACAGATCAATTTGGCGGTCGGTTCGGATGATTTCGAATATCTAACAAATTTTTTTGAAAAAAATACGAAAAATGAAATAAAATTTTAAAACAACAAATTTAAAATTATATATATATACATATATACAGACCTATGAAAAAGAATGGAAGAGAGGAGAATATAAGGAAGAGAGAGAGGGGGGGGAAGACTTGCCATTACCCTCAGTGACCGTCCACGCCACCGTTCAACAACATCACATCATCGCTCATCGCAATCGCAATCGCCCCCATTGTTACTGAGATGAGGAAGATAGTGAGAGATGGGTTTGTCATGAGAGAGAGACACGAAAGGGGAAAAAAACAGAGATGAGAAAGACTTAGATGGGTTTGTCCCTCAAAAGGAGAGAGAAAGAGAGTGCCAAACGGGGGAGGAAAAAAAAAAAGCACAGAAATAATAAAGGATGGGTTTATCTTTCAAAGAGAGAGAGAAGAGGATGGTGCCGAAAAGGGAGTAAGAGGGAGATGAGAGGTTTCAGAAGAAGAAAGGAAATGAGAGAGATGAAACGTGATGATGCGGGGGAGACAAAGGGGCATGTGGGAAGTTAGATCAATCACTTGGGAAGATGATAAATGCATTGGGAAGATACAAAGTTTTCTTGAAAAAAATAATAATTAAATTGTTTATTTTCACTTTTCAAAAAATATTTTTTTAAAAAATTTATTTTTTTATTTTTCGTATTTTTTTTTAAATTTTTTTAATATTTTAAGTAATTTTTTTATTTTTTAAATAAACTTAATATAAATACATTTAAAAAATAAAAAAATTATAAATTTTTTTTAAAAAAATTCATTAAATACCAAAAATACAAAAAAATATAAGAATTCAGTACATTTTTTATATTTTTATGTATTTATTAATTTTTATAACTATTTTTTACAAATTTTTTACTTTTTAGATACATCTAAGTAAAGTGCATCTAAAAAAGTAAAAAAAAATGTTTAAAATTTTAAAAATGTTCACTAAAAACAAAAAAAAATACGAAAATAAAAAAAGTCAGTTTTCAAAAAATTTAATCTAAAAAACTCAAACCAAACACACTGAATGATGTTATGCTGCTGTTGTTTTATTTTTCTAGGCAAATAAATCCCAAGTAATGGTTAAAAGTATATATAATACACGTATATATTTTCGGTCGGGTCGGGTTGGGTGAATATTTTTTAAATAAATCCGACCTCCGACTGAAAATTAAATAAAATTGAAGAATTTCAATCACAGTTGATCGTGAAGTTGGTCGAAACCGCCCGTACCATGAATGGGTCGGTTGGGTTAGGTCGGTTCTGCGAGTAATTCAATTTTTTGGAACACTCCTAATAAAATGATAGCAAATAATAAACTGCTCACTCGAAAAAAGAAAACAACTTTTTCTTGGTCCTGTTGAATCCTAACCCAATTGTCCAAAGCCTAGGTTTTCTTTCCCTGAGAAGACAAAGTGGAAGAACAGTAAAGTAGATGGATGACGATTATCAAGTACGAAATGTCGAAGTCAATTTGTCAAGAAAATTTGATTTACTATACCACTCAGAATATCTCATTACACACTATTTACTACTAAGTTCACAGCAAACACAAAATTTTTTTTTTTTCCCCTCAAATCTTACTAATAATTTTTTTAAATATTATCTGGTATACCTTTGGGTGTTTGAAAAGTGGATTTTTATGTAAGTTTTTTTAATTGTAGGATATTATTGGAGAAAAAATTTTTAGTGTTTAGGAAGATAGTTGGGTTTTTTTGTGGTTGGATGTGATGTTTGTGAGAGAAAAAATGAAATGATTATAGGGTTGAATGTGATATTTTGTTTGGATGTATTTTTTTTAATTTTGTAAAAACTTTGTCTTTTAGTGAAAAATTAAAAAAAAAAAAAAAAACCCAACAAAAAATCTTCCCAAACACGCCAAATCTTCATTAATTTTAAAGCTCAACCCTAATTTTAATTTTAACCCTCAAACACTATCCACCACTGTTGTTAGGGTTGTGTAAAATACCGCACAATCTGTTAAAATTATACTGATCCGTATCAATCAGCACCGCTCTATCTGCTAATCACAGTTTAACCTTTAAAATTTATAAATCGCCTTCGAAACCGTTTCACTCTACTATAGTTAATACATATATATTTTTTAATCTATAATGAAATATCAAAGTAAAAATAAATGTGAGAAATATTTAATATGTAAAATTATTACAAATTAGTAATTATACATATGAAAAATATTATGTAAATTAGTGTCATATATTATGCAAGTGCTTGACAATTGGTTAGAATATTTTTCAATCCATCATCCGTCCAAAACTGCTCAAACCACAATTTGCTAATCTGCCATTCGATCTATAGTTTTACTGTCAAATCGCTCAAATCGCACCGCACGCCCCTAACTGTCATCATCGCCATTGCCAGACTTCTCACCTCTGCGTCATATTGCCCATTAGCTATTATTGTCTTACCATTTTTTATGAATCTCTCTCTCTCTCTCTCTCTCTCTCACACACACACACACACACAAAGAGGGACTGTAGGAAGTAGGGCTTGTACATTGTAAGCGAGGGTCTTGGGGGGTGCATTGAAGGGTTAGGGGCTACGAGAGCTATGCATTATAGAGGTCGAAACACTAATAGGTCATCGGTGGTAGAGTTGCACTAATGGTAATTATGGAGCAGCTGGGCTAGGGTTGATGATGATCTAAAAATCAGTATCAGAGGATGGAGGAGGTTTCGAAGATGACTGGTGGTGTGTATTGAAAAATTAGTTTTGTTTAGAATGGTAATTTGCTTAATGGTTACCATAGGAATTTAAAATAAAATATATAAAAAGAAACCTAAACAATAATGTAAACTATCCGATTATGCAGTAGTGGTTAAATAGAATTATCCGATTACGTGTCGTTCAACTCAATATATCCGCAATGCGAGTAATAAAAGATTTTATTTTTTAAATAATATTTTATAAATTTTAATTAAATTATTTATTTGTATATCTATATATAATCATTTTGTAAAATATGTTGCGACTTTGGTAATAAGTGTCAATAATCTTAGTATCTTGTGCTTTAAAATATATAAATTAAATAAATATATTTAATAATTTTTAACTAAATTATTTATGTATATATGAAATTGTTAGGTCCCTGTGTTGTCAAATCCGGAGACAAAACCTTGTGTTGATTCAAAACTATGTTTTTGTGTTTTTGTACTGTCCGCTCGAGCGGAGACTCTTGAGCTCGAGCGTAGATTAGCAGGTCACAGTATTTTGACAGGGCAAGCACAGATACTGGTGGGTGCGATTTTACGCTCAAGCGGAAACTCCTACCCTCGAGCGCATCTCAGCTTATTCATATGCAGTTTTTGGTCAGTCCGCTCGAGCGGGCTGTTGTGAGCTCGAGCGGAGATCGCAGATCCAGTTCTCTATTTAAAGCTGCTAAGGGTGTTTTTGTGAAGCACGTTTTCCTAGATCTGATCAAAACAAACTAGGGTTGTGTTTAAAGTCTTCTTGGGAGATTTTTGATCTTTTTCCTTGATGTTCTTAAGAGAGTTCTGAACTTATGCATTAAAATTCATACATCAAGGAGGTTGCTTCTTAAGTTTCAAGTGAGTTCTCTTCGGTGGATTCCGAAGATCAAAGCGTAGGATCCAAAAGGCGTTTGAGTCTACGCAGTCGTTAATTCGACGAGTGAAGTTGTGGTGTGGAATCAACTTCAGAATCAATTCCGTGACGAAGGTGTGGTGAAAAGAGTTACAGAAGATTCAGAGACAAATTGACTAGGGTTGGGTAATTGTATGATTTCTTTGTAATCTTTTCATTCTTCAGTAGTGGATTGATAGTGGCGGTTCGCCCGTGGTTTTTGATTACAATTGAAGGTTCTTCAATTGTGGTTTTTTCCACGTAAAAACTCGTTTGTGTTGATTTATTGTTTATTCTCAAAAACAAACAAACTAAAATCACTCTCGTAAGTGTTTGATGATTTTAGGTTGAGTGTTTTGAATTTTTTGGGTTGTGGAATTAGTTAATCTTGATCTAATCACAAATCACGTAGGATTTTCAGAAATTATTTTAAGGGACTGGCTTCTCTTCAATCTTAAATCAGACTAAAGAGGTGTTGTCCAGTCCATTGGGCCTAGTTTGAGTCCCGTTTTGATAATCCAAACTGTTCACTTTTTTGGATTTATTGAGTGCATCATCCTCGCAAAAAATCAATTCGATTGGATAAGGGCAACCACATGTTCAGATCCATTTTTTTTAAGAAAAAAAAATGAACGGTGAGAAAATAAAAATTTTATACAAAATTGATCCGAAAATGTGGCTTATGCTATCCGATCGACTTGATTTTTTAGTAGGGATGATATACCCGATGAATCCTAAAATATAATCAGTTTGAATCATCAAAACATGACTTAAAAGTGGCCCCAGTGGGCCGAATTGGACTGTTCAGTTCGATTTGAGTTGGAGACAATTTAGACCCTTATTTTAAAGAGTCGTATGACGTCTCTACAAAAGTACCCCTTCATAGACTCTGACCGGTAAAGGTCTATTCACATACTCCATAGTGCTAAACTCTTACATGTCAAAGTCTACGAACGGGTCATTTTGTGGGAGATTTTTGTGGGGATTAATCATTTTCCTATTTGAAACATAACAAAGACTTAAATTCTTCATCCAATGTAAATTACATTTCCATGGATAGATACATTGTGTCATTAAAATCTCTCATACCTTTTTGAAAATCTTTATCTTAAATTTCTCAAGTATTCAATTCTTTGTTCAACTTCCTTTTTTATCTCAAATTTATTATCTCTGTAAATTAAAATCTAGCACTTAGCGTATGAATTAAATGTCCCAATACTCTATTTGGTTCATTAAAATGAGATGAAATAGAATGGAATATTAATTGAGTAATAATAGGGATCTCAAATATTTTACTAATATTTTTATCAAATGTCTCACATGGCATGTGAGACATTTGGTAGAATGTTGATAAAACATTTGGGGTCTCTAATATTTTTTATATTAATTTCTTAGACTTTTTTATGGAATGATCATTTTCCTAGCAAAAGATGATTTCATTTATTAATTTAAATACAACTTTAGGGGTTAGGCTTATCGCCAATCCACAAAGTGGACTAGACGGTATTGTTGGGCTTGTGGGGCCTACCACGAGCCCTATTTCAATAATCTGAACCGTTCAATGTGTAGAGTTCATCGAGTACTTTATCTTTCTAAAAAATCACGTTGATCAGATATTGATAACTACTTGATCGAATCAGATTTTTGTTAACAATTTATTTTGAAAATTATATTTACCATTGATAGAAATCTAAACCGATCAACTAGCTATCGATATTCGATCAATACGGTTTTTGATAGAGATCAAGTACTTGACGAGCTCTATACATTTAACGATTCAGATCATTAAAACAAGACCCGTGGTAAGCCTTCACAAGCCTAACAACACACTCCAGTCCAATATTAGATTGTAAAGAAGCTTGACCCCAACTTTAAATCTACCAATTTATGATAGGATCTTA